CGACCCCCGACCGCCACGCCCCACCGCTCCCTCCTTCCCCATGCCTACACCTCCTCCATTCCCCATCCAGCGCCCTTCCTACACGCTCTGCATCTACCCCCTCCATTCCCTGCCTCACCCTCAATATAAGGCACCCACCATCCTCCCCTGTCTCCCCACCGTGCCATGGCATCAGAAGGCCAGAGGCTCATGTTCCCTGCCCAGGTACAACGCCCCTCCACACCCTGCTCTCACTCCTCACGTAGGGCGTTCACCAGCTTAGCACACTCCCCCAGGCTCAGCACAACCGACTAACGCACCCGCGTCCCCCGCACGACTCCCCTCTGCAGGCTCTTCACTGGGCAACAGCCCCACAGCAGGGAGACGCCCCAGGACCCCAACACCCCCCCTCCAGCCTCGCTGTCCCTCCCCCGTGCGCTTACTCTGCTCCATGCTGCTGCAGGAGCTGGTGAAGCATCTGCGACTGCTGGGCATGGTGGAGATCGCCCGGGGACATGCCCTGCCCCATAGCATACGGCGGCATGAGCGGCTCAGCCTTCATGTACATGTCCCGCTGCATGCTGGGATAGTGGGGGTTGTGCTGCGGCTGGGGGGGATGCGGCGGGGGCGGTGGGGGGCCCTGCAGGTGGGGAGGTGGAGGAGGGTGTTCCAGCCGAGAAGGTGGGGTCATGTGGCACATGTTCTCGGGGGTCATGGTCCGCAGGAGGTGAGGATCTTCAAAGAAAAACAGAACAGGTTGGTTAGACCCATGCACAAGGCTAAATACCGCCTGTCCTGAGTCCATCCCATATGAAGGGAGATTAAAAAGATGTGGACTTTTCAGCTTAGAAAAGAGGAGACTAAGGGAGGATATGATAGAGGTCTATAAAATCATGACTGGTGAGGAAAAAGTGAATAAGGAAAAGTTATTTACTTGTTCCCACCATAGAAGAACTAGAGGTCATTAAATGAAATTAATAGGCAGCAGGTTTAAAACAAACAAAAGGAAGTTTTTCTTCCCTCAGTGCACAGTCAACCTGTGGAACTCCTTGCCAGAGGAGGTGGTGAAGACAAGTACTTTAACAGGGTTCAAAAAAAGAATTAGATACATTCATGGAGGTTAGGTCCATCAATGGCTATTAGCCAGGATGGGTAGGAATGGTGTCCCTAGCCTGTGTGTGTCTGGAAATGGGTGACAGAGGAGGGATCACATGAGGATTACCTGTCGTGTTCCCTCCCTCTGGGGTACCTGGCATTGGCCACTGTCTGCAGACAGGATACTGAGCTAGATGGACCTTTAGTTTGACCCAGTATGGCTGCTCTTATGCCTCTCCAGCCCCAGGGGAGCCCGAATACCCCTGCCAGATTCTCCTCTAGCACCCTCCTTTATCCTCCTAGTCCCCTCACTCAGTCCCCCCAAATAGTGTCCCCTTTGGGGGAACCTGAAATATGGTAACCTTCGCTTCATTCCCACTCATCTTCTGTTGCTCACCCTGCCCCCGCCTGCCCCCGTACCAGCTCCTGGGCCCCTCATCCACCTCCCCTAACTGAGCCTGCTCCGGTGTGGGTCACTGTGCAGGCAGTTCTGGGACTGGACTTCTCGCCCATCTCTTGCTGCTTGGGAGGCCCAGTCGGCCGACGGGGCTAGCTGGGGATTCCCAGTTTGTGAGGAGAGTTCCAGCTACTTTCCCTTGACAAATGCAGCGGCATCGTGAGGCTTTGGGCCCTGCGATTGACACAGGAGGAGCTGAGGGAGCTGGCTGAAGAAGAATGCCCCAAACCCACAGCTAGCACGGCTCCCGAAGCAGCTGAAGGCCTCGCACATCCAGCCTCGGCAGCGCACAACAGGAGGCCGACACCCCATTGTGGTGCAAACCGCGCCATCAGGATGCTCCGAGTTCACGCTCCTCAGCACACCCTGGTCCGGCGGGGCAATGGAGTTAGTATTTAGCTGTACTGCTGTAGCATCAGGACTTGGGGCCGCAGTCTGCCCCCAGAGCACACTACAGACCCCACTTCAGTTGTGAGAAGGACCCACCTTTCCCTGGTGACTTTGTGCCTCTCACTTGGCTCGGAACTGCAAGCCCCAGGGCAAACAATGCCGAGAGCGCGAGAGTGGTTAACACGGAGGATCGTCTATTATAACACAAGCACCTCAGCCAGGGTGCTCCAGAGATGCTGTCCTGCCAGGGGAGCTGGTAAGCAAGCAAAGGATCTTGAAAGGGACTGCAGCTTTATAGAAAGGCAGCTCCTTCAGAGATCACTGCCGTCGCTGGAGAGGGAGGCGCACTAGAACCCGATGGCTGAGTGGCTAGGGTTGCCAGGTGTCCGGCATTCACCCAGACCGTCCAGCATTCACCCAGACCGTCCAGCATTCACCCAGACCATCCGGTATTTTCACCTCCTGTCCGGTAAAAAAATTCAGAGAATACCGAACACCTAAAATGTCTGGTAGTTTCTGATTTTTTCCCTGGCCAAGAGGCAAAAATGCCGGGCACCTGGCAACCCTATAAACACTCAACGCCCAGCCTCCTCCCCGCCCAGCTCCCTGACCCCAGCCCCCATGCTTACCTGGTTCTGCAAGGCTGCCAGCACGAAATGGCTGCAGACCAAGCAGAAGCAATGCTTCCCCTGGGTCTTAGTGCTCAACCTCTCCATTGTCCCTATCTCTGCACTCACTCTTAAAGGAGACATGCTTTTTTTTTTTGTGTGCTCAACAACTTTGGTGTTCCCCCTCTTCCCCCCCCCCCCAAAAAATTTTTTCCCCGGGGGGTTTTTTTTGGGGGGGGGGGGGGGGGTTTGGTATTTTTGTTTCAACCATCTGGCAACCCTAAGAGCGGGAGAAGAGGGAGGCTGGAAGGCCCAGGGACCCCAGATACTTGGAAAGGTCTGTCAGAGACCCAAAGGGTTCTCGGAGCAGCGAGGACACTGGGAGGGAGGGATTTGCAGGCTGGCTTTGTTATGTCTCTAGAGACCCGTATGTATCTCGTGCTGCCTATGAGAAAAGCAGGTGGGCGCTTGGACACTCCTTTGCAGTGTCTATGTGGTATCTGCTTACGCCATCATGAGGCCCTCGAAGAGGGCAGCAGAGCATCAGAAGGTCCAGTGCATTGGGGGAACATGGGGAGCATACAGCAGCTACTGGGGAGGCTTGGATGAGCCAGCATTAATTCTAGGGGCTCTACAATTGGACTGTGTGGTCCCCGCTGCCAAAGGGGTGTCGGACAGGGACTCTGCCCCTGCAGCATGTGCCTACAAGTCCAAAACTGGGAGTCAGGGTGTCTAAAGTCTGCCCAGAACCAGCAAGCTAATTGCAGCCTGGTGGGCATCCAGCCGGGAGAGTTGTAACAGCCCCATTGTGCTAGGCACTGTGCACGTCTAGAGCCTCTCCCCAAAGAGCTAACAACAAGAGATGAACAGCAGAAGGCCACACCAGTCACAGTGAGACACCTGCAAACAACCGGATAAGTGTGGTCCCAGCATACCTCAGCAATGGGCAACTGAGGCTAGTGAGTGGGACATGCAAGGGGCCTTCCGTCATCTCAGCAGGTTGCAAGGTGGCTGGAACCAGGATGGTCTCCCAGGACAGGGCAGTTTTGCTCACTTTGCCTGCGTATCTAGAATTTGCCAACTGAACCACACACGGCTCTCGGTCAATGTGTCCATCGGGCTGCACCTCTCTTCATGTGCCCCTGGCTACGTGAATGTCACTTTAGTAACACCGTCTGGAAGAAAACTACACAGATGGAAACCAGCGGAATCTGGCAACCCCGCGTTCGGGCAGCAGTAAATAAAATGTCTTGGGGGCGGCACACAGAGGCAGGGAAATGCTGATGTCTCCATGCTACAGCTGGGGAACTGAGGCGCAGAGAGGCTATAATATAAGGGGCTGCCCCACAGGATGTCGGGTCAGAGCAGGGAACCGAACCGGAATCTCTCCAGTCCTAGGCTAGTCACTTGAATCACTGGACAATCCTCTCTCAGGTCCTGTATCAGCAAAGCCAGCAACAACCTGCACCCTCACTCCCAGATCACGCTGCTCATTGCCCCTTCGGCCTGCAGCCATGAGCTACCGGCCTGCCCCAGTGCTCCCCCCCCCCGCCCGGACAGAGCCTACTCCCTCCAGTCAGTGCCCCCACCACAGGCACCTCGGCCAGCCACAACGCATTCCAGGACTGTGTTTCACCTGCACTTTGTGGCTGTACTCTCCTTCCTACTCAAGTCAATGGGAGCTTTCCCCTGGCTTGCTATGGGGTGCCCCTCTCTGGGCTTCTGTGGAGGGGAGCTGCAGGTGGGGGCTGACTGGAGAAAGGTAACAAAAGAACGACCTGGCCCAGTCTGACTGCCGCCTGTTGGAAATCTCACCGTTGCAAAACCGGAGCAGTATTTTTGTGTTTGCATTCAAGTCACTAACAAACTTTTTTTTTTTTTTTAATTTTTAAACACAGAGAGGACTTTGATCCTTGCATTTCAATAAGCCACACGGGAAATTCAAATACTCGCTCCAACGCCCCACGTCTACGTGTGGGATCAGATATTGAAATCAAGCCGCTATCTGGGTTTATTTGACTGAGTTGCCATCAAAGTACTTGTTTAACATGTGGCGTCCGGTGAGTGTATGCAAACTAACTGTCCCCACCACAGGGCCTGATCCAGCAACACATGCCATGCCAGCAGAGGAACCCTGTGCCCACATGGAATCCTGGAACAATCCAGGCCTTACACCTTACTGCAAACACTCACTATGCAGCTGGCTACATACCAATGCCAGCAGTTTCACTGAAGTCAATGGGACTATGCACAGAGGTGGTAGTACTTGTTCCTCTCCCTATCAGAAAGAAGGGCCTAGCTTGGCTTCAAACTGCCAGCTAGACAGAACCTAAGCCAAATGTCTCCCAGTGCAATACCTTGAGGAAAAAGGCCCAAGGAAAGGTGGAAGTTTCTAACATGAAGCCACTTTGAAGGTCTCTGAGGCTACATCTACACTGCCGGCTTTGCCAGCAGAGCTTATGCAAATGAAACACAGATTAGTATATCACCAGGCTTTATTTGCATCATTTATGCAAGCTATTTTTGCTCAAAAACAAGTAGTGTGGATGTTTTCTTTTTGCACAAAACCCCCTTTTTCCACAAGATCCTTATGCTCCAAAAAAGGAGGTATACCGATCTTGCACAAAAAGAAAACGTCCACAGTACTTGTTTTTGCACAAAAACCCCTTGTGCAAAAATGGCTCGCATAAATTATGCAAATGAAGCACGGTAATATGATAATCCATGCTTCATTTGCATAGGCTCTCATGACAAACGCAGCAGTGTAGACGTAGCCTGAGAGCAAAGCAGAAGTACTGGAAACAGCTGTGAGCTGGTGAAATCCATTCTTTTCTCACACATCAAGTTCCGGAGACACCAGCTCCACCCTGCAAAGCAAAAATCACATGGGAACGGAGGAAAGACCCTTTTAGTCCCAAAGCGTCATTTTTTTATGCCAGAAAATAGTGAATGCCTGGAATGCCTAGGAACTAAAATCCATCTACATTGGATTTGTACCCCAGATACAATGTTGGGGTCAGGGTTTTGGTTGGCGCTCATCTCTATAATGACTCTGGTTATCACATCTCTGATATGATTCTAGGCAACAATAAGACTTGCCTATTAAGGAGCAGCACGACACACGTCAGCTTGGGGTTAAGGCAGCATTGCCAACTCTGCGACACTGCAAGTCAAGTGATATTTGA